ACTCAAACAGTTAAACTGTTGCTGAAGGAACAAATTGATCCTAATGTTCAAGAGAAAGATGGTTGGAATGCTTTTATGTTGGCTTGTCAAAATGGTCACACTCAAATAGTTGAACTTTTGCTGAAGGAACAAGTTGATCCTAATGTTCAAAACAATAATGGAACAAATGCTTTTATGTTGGTTTGTCTAAATGGTCACACTCAAACAGCTGAACTGTTGCTGAAGGAGCAAGTTGATCCTAATGTTCAAGAGAAAGATGGTTGGAATGCTTTTATGTTGGCTTGTCAAAATGGTCACACTCAAACAGTTGAACTGTTACTGAAGGAACAAATTGATCCTAATGTTCAAGAGAAAGATGGTTGGAATGCTTTTATGTTGGCTTGTCAAAATGGTCACACTCAAATAGTTGAACTTTTGCTGAAGGAACAAGTTGATCCTAATGTTCAAGACAGTAAGGGTCATACAGCTTTAATGATTGCCAGTGCTCATGGACACCATGAAGTAGTTAAGTTATTATTAGATCGGAAAGCTGATCCAACTATTAAATCTAACAGAGGCTACACTGCCTTAGCAGTAGCCAAAACTGACGAAACAAAGACGTTGCTTAAAAATTGCTTTAAAAAGGGAAATTTCAAGGAAGATGATGGTATAAGTGTAAGTTCATTTGCATCTCAACAAACAATATCCAGTGGACATCATACAGTATCAGACATTATTAGTAAGAGAAGTTTCCCTTCTACTTTAACTTTAGATTCAGGAATAGAGGACTTGACAGATAAGAAGTGATGTTGAAGCAGATATTACATGATACTATGTGATTTTAGTGCAATGAGATTAGTATAAGGTACAAATGAAGTAGATAATATTAATGTTTTTAATTACATGCAATTTATTTTTTGCTGCTTGAAATAATTTTTTGTGCATATAGCATCCTTATTTCCTCTTGTCTTTCCTCTTTTTTCAGCTAAGCCCAGGATGTAAACAAAAGCTGTTTTAAAAAGTTTGAACACAAGATAATAAAGTGTGAACAAGGTGCCAAAAATGAGCAACAAAAGTATAAATTTGTAAATGTTTTCAATGCAAAAATGCTAAAAGGATGCATTATGAGCTATTTTTAATAGTAAAATTCAAGAAATATTCTTTAAATTTAAAAAAATAATAATAATAAGCATAAAAGCACAAAAAGGAATCAGTGTTAAAATCTTTAAAATTATAAAATAAAAGATGCAATCATGTATGTAAAAAAGGAGCAGAGGGAGAGAAATGCTTACACTTAAGGTAAAAAGAGA